CAACCCAGGGGTTCTACATCCAAAAGTCATGGTATATCTTGGGGGGTATGGGCTGGACAGGGCATWCTGTCTTCTAAAAATAACTGATGGTACATTCAGTTAATCTGATTTTCTGTTGACTAGGAGAAGGGACTTCCATGTTAGGCCAGGTGAGTGGGAGTGGCCATGAGATGGATGAGGAAGCTGTGTGCACTAGCACATGCCTGTAACCTCAGAGACTCTGGAAGCTGAGGCAAGGAGGGTTGCAGGTTCCAAGGTAGCCTGAGCATCATAGTGAGACCCTGTTTCAAAATTTTAAACAAGGTCTAAAGGACTAAGGATGTGGCTCGTGGTAAAATGCCCCTGGGTTCAATCTCCTGTACCTACCACCACTCCCTATCCCTCCAAAAAAAGAAAGAAAAAAATAAAAGTTTGAGGAGATTTTTCGTTAGGAAAACTGTTTACTGAAAAGAAAGGATAGAGTAGCTCCAAAGAATGTGATCTCTGGCTTCATTCAGCCTGGGCTGAAGTCCTGATAGCTTTAGGCTGACTGTTGACATGATCTTGGGAAAGTGTTCATTTGACCTCTGTGTGCCTCAGTATTGTCATCAGTAAAGTCAGGATGGCCAAGTTCCTCCTCATGGAGTGTTTGTGGAGGTTACATAACACCAAAGAAGCATTTAGCATGGCTTACTCTACATAGTAAGTACTCATGAAGTTATAGTTGTCTGTTTCCTTTTTAAAAATAAAAGCAGCAAAAGGCTATGTGACAGGCTGATCTCTTATTCAAAGGCATTATACATATGAATGGGTAACAATAAATCCCACTATTATRTATACTTACAAAGCACCAATACTTTAAAAACAAAGTTAGAGGAAAGACTGAAGAGGGGAAATTCAAAGCTASAAAGGGAATCTGGGGCACAAGTTCCATGCTAAAAGAACAGTTCTGGGAACTAGGGGTGTGTGGAATTAACAGGAACACTGGTCAGAGGACTCCTCTGTGGAGAGCCAGGAGAGGCCGGCCAATATGTGAGTGCTGAGGGAAGCACTTTTACCTGTGGCAGAAAGAAGTCCCCAACAGTCCAGCAAAAACAAAAATCTCTGCTATTCTCCAGAAATCAGGGAATCAAAAATGAAGGCTCAACCATGGGCAGAAGTTAGAGGCTTCCGCAGAAGCCAGGCACACCCTCAGAGCCAGGCTGAGGAAGTGCTTGCTGGCAAGGCACAGTGATGAGGATCACTTGAGCCCTGAGTTCAAGGTTATCCTTGGCAACTCAGCAAGGCCTGTCTTGAAGGAAAAAAAAAAAAAAAAGTGCTTACTATCACAAGGGAAAGGCAAAGAAAGCACAAAAACACCCTGGGAAAAGAGATGTTTTGTGCTCTAAGTTTATGCCAAACCAATTCAAAAATGAGTCTGAAAACTGACCTCACTTCAACTTCTAGGTTTACATACGAGGAAATCAAAGCCCTTCCAAGAGTAGTTGGGGAGTTGTGTGATGGGGTATGATATGCCTGGAGTGTTGGCATAAATGTGTGAGTGTGGCCATTGCAACAGACTGGGGTGGGTGGGGGTGAAGTGCACCCAGGGAAGAGAGTTTTCAAACAAAAAGCCACCCCCACCATCTYTTAATAATGAACCCAAAAGTGGCAACAAAAAGAAACTGTTAGTGACAGTAGGAAAATAGGAGGCAAGTAAAACCTTCCATTCAGGGAATATGTGGGGATCATGTATCTGATCCCATCAAATGTGTCTTCTACATACAACAGAAGCTGAAAGCTAAAGATGAAGTAAACACAGGAGTGTAGGGCAACTGGGTGCAGTCCAGCCCTGCAAACGGGAAGGGTGACTGCTCCAGGTACAGGAATTCACACTCAGTTTTTTTTAAAAAACACTGACTTTGCCAAAGGAAACACAGAGCTCAGCCTCACTGTCATGTCACCGATTTGCAAATGTAAAACAGCTTCAATGAAAGAGTTTTAGTCCAAAAAGATCTGTGAAAGGACAGTTTCACTTTAAAGTGATCCCAGCTGAAGGAAAATGCAAAATCCTGAGATTTTTCCCATCTACATATTGATAAAAGGGATATACTCATATTTATATGAGATGGTGTCTATCTTCCCTATTGAAAATAAAATGAGGGAAGACATCCTTCATCTCAAGCACCAACACTGTATTAATGGCACTTAATAAATGTTTGTGGAATTATTACATGCAATTATAAGCAGAGCAAAACACTAACTGGAAATAAAACAATACCTCTCTTTTGAGGTTATAAAACTAAGGGGGTGGATCTCTAGCTCTAATCCTCCCCTCCTCCCTTCAGGATTTATTTTTAACCTTGTGGACATCTTTTGTACAAAGCCAAAGACTTCAGTGGTAGAACCTCCCTTATCTTGTTSCTTGAGCAGAGATCAAAGAGCATGGGCAGCCTCCCAAGAACAGCTTATTATGGAATTTGTGTCCTAGGTGGTATCTAAGCGGACTTGGTTCTCTGGGATCTGGGCAAAGGAAATCCAGAGCTCATGCTGATAACCCTTCTAACTGCCAGCCTCCATGATTCTGGAGCACAGAGAGGGGCACCAGCCTCACAGAGTTGTAAGGAGTAAATGATACTGTGTATGGAAAAGGCATAATCAGTGCCTGGCACATAGAAAGCACTCCAATACTATGGCTGTTATTATCTATTATGGAAACAGTAGACGAATGTGTTTTTTTTTTTAAATGGGCCTAATTTGGGAATTGGGAAGAAAGTTAGGAATTAGGACAACAAACTGAGAGGCTGAGTATGTTAGCTTTTTGTTGCTATGACCAAAATATCTTACAATTACAACTTCAAGGAAGTAAAGTTATTTTGGCTTCTGCTTTSGGAGGTTTTAGTCCATAGTCTGCCAGCTGCATTGCTTTGGTGTTGAGGGGAAGCAGAGCATCATGGTGGAAGGAAGGATGTGACAGAGGAAAGCTGCTCAGCTGATGGCAGCTGAAAACCAGGGGCGGGAGGGATAGAGGGAGAGGGGAAAATGAAGGGACCTGGGACAAGATACAGTTCCCAAGAACATGTCCCCTAGGGCTTATTTCCTCCAACCATGACCCATCTGCCTACAGTTACCACCCAGTAGTCTATTCAAAGTATTAATCCATTAACTGCATTAATTCACCGATGAGGTTAGAGACCCTGAGATCCAATCATCTCCTCAAAGACCCATCTCTGGACATCGTTGCTTTGCATTCAACACATTCAACACAATGTAGGGAACATTCCAGATCCAAACCATAACACTGAGGAAAAAACAAAAGTACTTTGATAGCTGTCTATAAATCATCTTGGAAAAAGTGAGGGTGAATAAGTGTTTAAATAACTAAAGTTTCCTATGTTCAAGTACAGTTTTTTATATGCATGCAAACACTCAGGCTTGGAATTCCTCTGGAAAGATAGTTAACAGGTAATAGTGGTCACCTCCAGAGAAGGTGTTTTAACTGGCAACAGCAGCTAGGGACTTAAAAAATTTTTTTTTTTGCTATATGTCCACATTACCTATTAAACTTAATCATTCATTTTAAATTTAATGCTATTCGTTTAAAATGTCTCCAAAGTTTTGCTGGATTTAGATCAACCTCCGATATTGGAAATGTCTACTTTCAGCTTTTATTGACTGTCAGAGCCTTGATATCGCCCCCTAGTGCCTGGTACCCACCACTGCCGCTGCTCCCCGCAGCCACAGAGGTTAATACTATAACTAGCTGTTCATTATCTAACTAAACTGTAACCTTCTCAGATACTCCAGTGCTTTAAGATTTAAAAATATAGGTCCTGGGGCTGGGGTGGTGGCTCAGTGGTAGAGCGTTTGCCTACATGTGTGAGGCACTGGGTTCGTTTCTCAGCACTGCATATAAATAAATAAAATAAAGGTCCATTGACAACTAAAAAAAWTTTTTTWWAAAAATATATAGGTACTGTGACTGATGACATTGCCCTCATGCATCTTTCTTGATGACCCAAATCATGTGTGTGTGGGCACAATATTAGATTTTTTTAAAAAATTATATCCTTTCATTTATTTCCATTTTTAAGTTGACATACTTATCAGTAGCAAAGGATTTTTACCTCCTCAGTTGCATCTCAAGTACAAATCATATTAGCAATTAAATTTTAATCCATCATTTGCTACCATAATTTTTTTTCTCTGCAAATGTTGAAGTGGAAGCTATTGCTTCACATACAGAATTCTCTCACTTGATTTTATTTGGGTAAAAGATTCTGAACCCTGTCTCAGACTTTATGTTGTTCTGTAAGTTACATTTTAAACTAGTAGCCTATGTAACTACATCTGCAACAAACCCTGCATACGTTGTTTTCATCCTGAATTTTGAAGTCTCCAAAGTACATTTTCACTTTCAAATATAAATGTTAAAAGTCTGTCTTTGCTGAGTATTGTAAAGATTTTCTTATTAGAAMCTGTAAGGCACGTTTGGATGTAAGGGTACACCGGCATTTTAAACATACCCAGGGTTAGAGATGGACTCTTCTGTAAATGCTAAGATTTGTATTCGTTATACTAAATGTGTCATATAAGAGACCACGCCTTAGGCTGAAGTTCTTCCAGGTCATCACCTTACTCAATAACCTCAAATCTTTGGACTTGGACAAATATTTGGGCTTTGAATGGAATTCGTAGGGGTCTTGCCTGATGGTTTTAGTGGGTTATGGTACATAATCCCAGGCAAGAGAGGGGTGGATCAAGGTCGGAGACCCCGAGTGCACAAGGGACTATGTGCAGATGAGCAAGTGGCAATCTCTTTATTTATTTTACTTTTCGGTGTTTCCACATATCTGAGAGAACAATCTCGACATCTCCTCCACCGGGCAGTTTCCCAGTGGCCAGAATAAAAGCCTGGTGGGCGTGTTCCAAGGCCGAGGCCCGCGTTGGACCGCGCCAAGGGTGGGGAAACCCACCCTGCTCCGAGTAGCTGGTATAAAGAGGCCTGCTGCTGCCGCTGGGCTGCACCAGCTTTGCAAGGGGCAAACTCGCTTCTGATCCGGCCAAGCACCGGTCTGAGCACCACGGAGATGGCTCCCGTCGGAGGCAAAAAGGCCAAGAAGGTGAGTCTCCAGAAAGACCGACGGCATTCTCCAATCCCACTCACCGGCAGGGCACCCCACCCTCAGCAGCGTAGGGGAACCCTCAGAGCCCGGCTGTGGACCCAGCGTCCTCCTACCCACCGCGTTCGGGCCAGAAGGTGTTTCCAAAACTTCGGAGTGACCCTGTGGCATCTGAGTCCGCCCCCATTCCTGCCTCTTRTCCAGAGTGCGCCCCCAAAAGTCCCTTTCTCCGGGCACTCACAGCCCAGAGCGCGTCCTGGACCTAAGTGATCCTTCTCGACCCAACTGAGGCATCCCCGACTCGAGGGCTCCCCCAGAGCTTCAAGACTCAACCCCTTCTGAGTCCAGCCCCGCAAGACCCGAGAACTCCCCCGACAGGCGCGATTTTCCGCTTCCAGGGCGGGGCACAGGCTGGCGGCCCGCGCGCCAGGCAAGAAGGGAGCAGAGCCTGTGCCGTGCGGCGCCGGCGGGAAACGGTCCTGCCGGTGGCGCGCGCTCCTCCCCACCCGGTTCCCGCTGCGCGCGCGCGCCGCACCCAAAGCTCAGGCGTTGGTGGGGCGATGGTAGGTTTCATTCGCGATTTGTCTCAACTACCGCAGGAGAATGAGCAGAGTGGCTGTAAGATGTTGAGGAAGGGCTGTTGATAAGATTGTAAACACCTAAACCCCAGCAGTTCTTGCTCCTGGTTACTAGCMGCCCAGGGGCTTGCTGGGGTGAGTGTTTTCAATCCACATAGTCTATCTTCATCTAGTTCAGGGAATGGACGGATGGACGGAAGATAGAGAAGAATGGTGGGAAGAAGGAATATACTTGAGCCCTTGGTGCCCCCAGGCCCAGTCCCAAACCTTGCACCACAGAGGCCCTCGGAAAATTGTTGGAAGGCAATGGGACCACATCCACTTACTCCCTTGGCTGTGAGGACCGTGAGGGCCGGAACCCGGAACACCACCCATCCACCCTACCCCAACCCCGCCCTGTTGTGCCCAGTTYCTAAGGAATGACCACCAAATCAAAAAGACTCCACACAGGGAAAAAGAATAATCAGGTATTTTAAATACCATACCCTATTAATGGAAGGTGTGAGGAGTGTGTTGAAAGGACGAATGATTAGGGCTGAATGAACCCAGTTCAGGTAGGTTGAGAATTGCTGCCAATTCATAAATCCACTGGAAAGATTGAGTCCTCTGGAGATTTAATTAATATTTTTTCTTGGTGTGGCTCCATTTTCATAGCCATGGATTCTAACCCATTCCCCAAACTCAAAACTCAGAACATTAACATTTTAAAGAATTATCTCTAAAGAATTATCTAAGCCACAGATGGACATAATGGGGAGAAAAGTTTCCGTAGTAACCTGGTTTCCATATCAGCTTAAAACATGAACCATAATGCATCTACATATTTGAGTTTAAAGTATGTTTCAAAGATAACACATATTCATTATTAGCAACTGGTAAAAGTACAAAGTACAGTGGCTACTACTTTTCCATATATATTCTACTAGTTTGTTGTCTAGGCAAATGGGTACTTTTTAAACAAWAATGGGCTGATATTGCACATACTGTTCTGTAATACCTTTTCACAAAATAACATCTTTTTTTCCTAGCACATTGCACTTTTAAAATCTGTAGTCCAGGTAACTGAAAAAATATAGTAGACTCTGAAGAGGTAGTATATGCAGCTATAGTTGCTGGACCGATTTATGATCAGCATAGTAATAGAATCACCAGTCCACCACTACCAGATATGAGATTCTTAGTTATGCTATGTGTTAAAAATGTCATGGTACTAAAATTTGAAACATATTTTCAATGAGAGTTGTTATTAACTGCCAAAATCTCATGAATTATTTCACCCAGATGAAAGTTAGTAGAAAGTCATTTATGTGACCCTTGTTCATGTTTTTGATTTAACTGTATATATGCAGATATACATATATACATTATGTGTGTCTATATGTATATTATATAAAGACTATACACACACACACACACACACATCTTGTTAGTTGGGTCAAAATAATCAAAGTTATAGTTTTAGTATCTTGACATCTATTTTATTTTTATTATTGTTATTAGTAGTATTACTAGTAGTAATACTGGGGATTGAGGATGCTTTATCACTGAGCCATTCCAGCCCTTTTTTTAAGTTGCTTAGAGCCTCACTAAGTTGCTTAGTCTGGCCTTGAACTTAAAATCCTTCTTGCCTCAGCTTCCCAAATCAATGGAATTACAGGTGTGCACCACTACACCCATCCAGATTGTAGCAGACACATTGTAATAATGACATTTGGATTTTAGAATTACATGTGAGCAATTCTATATTTTTGTAGTTGTACTTTAACTATAGACTTCCAGACTTGGAATWTTTTGGATCCAAAAGGAGTATTAGAGAGCAGATAATTGACTTTCTCCTCTAACGTGAAAATGACAGCTGCTTCCTCTCTCTGAGTGCTTGCTGTCCAAATGGTCTGGGGTGGGGCTGTGAAAGGGAAGAGGGTTAAAATAAAGGAGGCTGTAAGAATATAGAAAGGTTTGGGTGCAAAACCCTATGGATGCCTCCAGCAGATTTATGTGCCCTTGTTATATCAGCAATTGTTTTAGCYGCTGGTATTGCTAGTAAATGGAACATAGTAGGTGAATTCCAAGTTATTCCTTTACCCTTCACAGTTTCTTCAGAATTTTCCCAACCTCCTCCACCCTATTAAAAATCAAATCTAGATATCACTTAAGGATAAGAGTCAGGAAGAGTCCTTTAGTTTGGGACACAGTGTATAAATTTCTAAGGAACTCTTGGCTTTCATTCCCCATTTGGAAAATCAGAGGAGGCACCCTAAAGTGACTTTAGGAATAAAAGGATACCTTTTATTCTTAAAGTCTATGGTTCTTTGAAGTTAAAAAATACAATTATAATAGTAAATTATTGTCTCATCTATAAAACCCTTTTAAAATATTCCATTCAAAATTTATCTCTTAAACATTAACACTGGGTGATTCTTGCCTAGTATTGTAGATGGAGTAGGTATGGCAAACAGGCTGGAAATACTTGTATTTGTCTCTTCCCTGTTCCTGGCATGGAGTACATATTCCCAACTTTCTGGATGCATAACATAGCTGCTGTTGTGGAAAATGAATTTTAATAGCAAAGAGAAGGATCTTTTAAATTACTTGATCACATTTGTGCTAGAATCTTCTTCCTTCTGCCTTTACTAAATTACTTGTAACTTTTCAGTCTTCTAAATGCCCTAATAGTATTATATGCCACTTCGACCTCTTTAATGATTTTAATGCTTGTTTTAGTTTATGGATAGTRTAAGAAGATTAACAATCACCATTTTAAGAATGTGTGCTAAATGGGTGGAGCTGTAGCTTAATAAAAGGCATTTGCCTAGCATTCGTGAAGCCCTGGGTTCAATCTCTAGCACTGAGAGGGAGAAAAAACACAACAACAACAACAAAACGTGTGCTTAAGTATAGTGAGTACAGTTTATAACAATTTATTCTAATTTTATAAAGATCCAGAAGAGAGAAGTTCAAWGGTTCCCATCACAAAGAAATGGTAAATGTTTAAGGAGATTGAAATATCAATCATCCTGATTTGATCATTATGCATTATACACATGATTGAATTATCACACTGTGCCCCAGAAATATGTACAATTTTTTTAATTGTACATATTTTTAATTTTAATTTTGAATGAAAAAAGAATATGTACTACAGTATAGATTTGAGGCTTTACAACAAAATCATTTAGTTTAATCCCTTAGCAGATGGTTCTTTAAACATAATATCCTCCCACTGTGATACTCTTCAAATACATTTTTTTTCTGTCATGCTRGGGATTGAACCCAAGGCTTCAAGCAACTGTTCTAACTGAACTCCACCCCCAGCCCAAATACTCTTTAATGTGTTCTGAAAGATACCCACACATGCCCGTCACATACACAAGAATACACAAATTTCCATTATATGAGTGTTCTGMCATAACTTGATGTATAAAATATGCATATTTTGGGAGAAATCATACTTCTCAAGAATAGTTTTTAAAATGGAAAATTGTCTTAAAAACTCAAGTAACTCTCTTCCCCTTGTCTGGAATTTTAGGGCATCCTAGAACGTTTAAACGCTGGAGAGGTTGTGATTGGAGATGGAGGGTTTGTCTTTGCTCTGGAGAAGAGGGGCTACGTGAAGGCAGGACCCTGGACCCCAGAAGCTGCTGTGGAGCACCCTGAGGCAGGTTAGTACAGAATCTATTCTAAGTTCTCATGATGAGCACTATGTTGATCTAAGCTCAAGAGTAAACTATCAAAGAGCGGCATGTGTCATGGCCRGCCACGTGTCATGGCCTCCTGGGTACTACTAGCTGTGTTATAGACTCACATGTTGGATAGCAAAACAGCCCTTCATGATGCATCAGCTGTCTACTTCCTGGGCCCTGCCAGGAAGTGATGAGTCTAGAACCTAGATGAGCCTAGAACCTTCCTCTCTGTCCTTCTTCCCTCACCAGTTTGGATGACTTCAGTTTCCATACAGATGATCTTTTCAGCACTTTGCTGTAGTGCCTGAATCTCCTCCTATCTCCTGTGAACATTTTCTCCACCACCACCGAAGAGACCCACTCCTAGACTTTGTCATCACCAAGAGCTGCCCACCGTTTCCCACCTTCTGCTCATTCTCTCTGCCTCATCAAGGTCAGCCCTTTGTCCACATCAGTTTAGTGTACAATCCATTCTCCCCATATGTCCAMCCACTTTACTGTCTGAGGTTCCATATCATAATCACTGTCCTGCCTCCATTGTTTATTTGCCAACAGGTTCAATTTGTGTYGTACTAACCCAACCCTATTTAAATGCAAATATCCACCTCTTCTACACCTACACCCATGTGCSTTAGACTCACTTTACATTTTTGACCAAAAATCTCTGATGGCCAGGAGAGAGGAAGTAGGAGGGAACCAGGGGTAATAAATGCTGTCTTCCAAGACAKAAGCCTTTGAATGGTCCCTCAAGCAAGAGGTAAGTGTTCTTGTTTAAAAGGAAGGAATGGGCCACTTCTGCAGGCTCAGAGTGTTTAGGAAGGATCTGGGTTTTTAAGGTTCTTGGGTGAGTCCACCTATATGTCTTCACCCCCAGCCTCGAGGTCCCATATATTCCTAATCAAGGCAGTGACTTTAGTATTACAGGCTTTCTGGTTGACAGTTCAACTTCTCTGGACTTCTACTCCTATATACCTTAGTCCAGAGCCAGATCTTCAGCTCTTTCTGCTCTCTAGTTTCACAAAATGGGTCTCCTTATGTGCCACCCAGGAGGCTCTCAGACTTTCATACTGATACTTAGGTTGGGGATAATTTACTCTTAGGCTTTCATTATTTTCCTCCAGTGCACCAATGGTACCCAATAGTAGTCATTTGATTCCATAGTCCTTATAATTACTACTTCCTCCAAACCACTCATACATCTGAATACATGCATACTTTCTCATAAATCTGCTAGTGCACACCTTCCTAGAAGCAGCCCACCCCAGTTCACCACAGTTTAATGTTTTTAATAGTAGCATCCCTAGAGCATGCAAGGAGTTGTCAAAAGCCTCCTACCTCCAGTGATGGGGGATGCTCATTCRTATCAGAGTTATTACTGGCCTCAGGGAGCTCCAACTCCAAAATGACAGTTTCTAGTTGTTTCCTAGGACTTGTTCTGAATCCAACTCTTGAAGGTCAGGCCATCCAGAAACAAATTCTGTTTGYTTGGAGATTCATGTGCAGGAATTTTATTGGGGAGTGCTTTTAGGAAACAATATTTATAAAGGAGTGAGAGAAACAGTGTTGGACAGGGGGRGGAATTATACTGGGATACAGTTATATCAGAGGCCTCAGCCAGCCTTCTGGAACTCTAGTGGTAGACAGGTCCTTTTGAGTTGTCCCATATTGAGGTAAGATGGTTGGTGTCCTTCGATTACCAACAGAAGTCACACCTGCAAGCTGTCAGTTCTCCCCACATGAGTGGACTGAACCCTGGGCAAGGGAGCCCCTTCTGACTGTGGTTACATTTGGAGAATATTCTACCTGGGCACTTTCAGCAGCCAGTGCTGTGGGCCACCACAGAAAAGAGGCACATGGGCTGAGGATCTGAGAGCCTACAGCATCAGCCACCTGGCCTCTGTTCTGTCCTCTCGAGCATGTCCACATCATCCCACTTAGACCTTCGTTCTGTTCCTTCTCCCAACTCTTCCTCTATGTTTATAGAACCCATGACTCAACATCAGCATTACTTCAGAAAGGCCTTCCCTGTGTGCTTAACCTAAATTAGCCCCATGGTCATCCTTGATTATCTTTATTACCTCTGTATTATTCTGTCTCACTTTCTTGATGGCACTGAATTGTCTGTTTATTATTAGTCTTTATTTGTCCACCTGTATTGGAATGCAAACTCACTGTTCGCTGAAGTATCCCTTAGAACAATCAAGGTCTGGCACATGCGATTGAGTGAACRATGGATTCCAGTTACAGAGCTAGACTGAGCCAGGGGAGAGAGATGGGACTTCTCTGACCAGTTTGGATAGTATACTGGAAGGAAGGATTTTAGATCTTCCTGGTCTGGAAAAGAGGGAGGTGAGAGAGGCCGATGGCTTTGTTTCAGAGGATGGCCTTGGACAGATATGGAAGAAGGGGGTTTAAGGAGATTCTGTATATGCCTGAGGAAGAAGGCAGGATGAAAGCGTGGAYTTGAGTATGCTCAGATTACTTGTACAGATGTTGAGTCTTTGAGATGAAAGTAGAGAAAGTTTCAGTGACTTATATAAGAGGAACAGTTCTTTTTTTATGATCATTAAAAATGTATTTATTTTGTCAAACTCAGTGATAAGTGATAGAAACTAACAATGCACATGAATAGTTAACATCTACCTCACAAAGTTGTTAGGAAGGTTAATTAAGTTATATGGGAAGTATTTAAAATAATGCCTGGCAATCATAAACAACATATGTATTCCTACTGTTATTAAGTTGACGGAGTTGTGTCTTCTCTCGATAGTATTCTTGCATTTATTAACCTGTTTCTGCTAGAAAAGTACAAAACTTATTTCTTCCAAAGAAGAATAGAAGTGCAAACCACACAGTCCCTAAACAGTACCCGAAGTGAAAGATCTATATTCACAAGGTACAACCCAGCAAATGTACACAACTTTCATATTTTCAAAAAGAAGTAGAAATAATACTGTGTTCTATCCTTGTAAAAAAGAAACGTAGAACTGAGAATCTCACRTTGTCATTTCACCAGTGAAGTTTGTTAAAAAATTACAGATTCCTGGGCCCCACTTATGAAAATTCAGCTTCATTAGGTCTGTGAAGTAGTCCAGGAACCTGCATTTACAATCATCACCCCCAGGTGATTGTGAAATGTCTGCACCTGAAGAAGCTTTCCACTAAAGGGCTTTTAGGAGCACAGTGTAATGGTGGCTAAGAACCTTGAATGAAGATTTCACACTCCCCATGATTTGCTTTCTATGGTCTGCTTGCCAGGTGAAGTTCCGGATAAAACATTTCTTGGGCAAAACCACTATGATGAACTTACTCTTGCCTGGACTATGCCATGTAGACCAAATAAAACTATTATTATAAACCACAAGTTCTAATTTTATGTCACATTTTTTAAAAAACATTTCAGGGCCTGGGGGTGTGGCTCAGCGGTAGAGTGCTCGCCTAGCACATGTAAGGACCTGGGTTCGATCCTCAGCACCACATAAAAATAAATAAAATAAAKATATTGTGTCCAACTAAAATAAAAAAATTTAAAAAAAAATTCATAATTCGGGAGCTCAAAAGAAATTATTCTGGCATTTTCTTTGATACTATTAGTATAGAAATAGCACATTTTATCTCTTGGCTAGCTGACTCCTTGTTATTTTGAGCTTGTCTGGGTGTGTCAAGCATTTGCTTTATGTTTTCTTCTGGGAAGTTACATGATTTTCGAGAATTAATGGAAAATCCATGATACCAAGTCTTTCAATTTAATCCCTTCTGCCACAGACCAAATCCCATATGGTATTTGATTCTGCCAGCATTCAGCTCAAATTCTGTCAAGCACAGTAGACCACAGGATGCATCAGAAAAGACAGGTCTCCTGTAACGCACCTTCATAGGACCATCCCCACAGGACAGTGATTGTATTTTGCCTTTGGGAGCTAGGTGAAAGGTGTATAAAACAGTCATACTCTGAAGAAGAGGAGTAATCTGTTTTCTGCAAATGAAGCTGTTTATCTGTAAGTGCAAAGATAATTTAGACTGAGTGGTAGCTRGAATTGACATAGATTCCCCAAAATTTCCTTGCAAGTTGGACTTCATCTGAAACATTTTACATGTCTGGTGCCTGGACCTAAGTTTTTAGATGGTAAGAAAGGTAAGGATATGCTGCAGGTCCGCAAATCCCTTATCCAAACCATGTTGGGACCAAATGTGTGATGGAATAGAGAAATTTGGGGATTTTAGAAAGTTAATATAGTGAGTATGTGTATATTATATAACACTCCCATTGGGCTCTACACCACATTAATACTTTTTTACATTGACATCTATGTCTACCCACACTAACTGGGAATCATAAGCAACATATGTATTACTACTGTTATTAAGTGGACTGAGTTCAACCTTTGTGTTCATTCGGGTCACATGTTGCTCCCAAATGATTTTGTTGCAGACATATTATTCTAATGAAGAAATGTAGAATTTTACTTGACYATTTAGGATTTGCTTTGTAATTTCAAATACTTGCATTTCTCATGCTAAATTGACAAGGTTAATTTCTAACTCTGTATGTATATAACCATGTAACACTGTTCATTTAGCTTCCATAATGTTAAAATAACACTACCATAATGAGGCATTGAAGACCATAAAATAAAAGTAATTAGTATAAGTGATATTGTGTCATGGGGACCAGACACATCCTATTATTGTCTAGAGGATGGATCTAGGAACCTTATGATAAAGGAAAACAAGAAATGGAAGTTGAAAGGATATCCAGAAACTGTCAGCTTATTTCTCCTGCTTAAATTTATGCTCAAAACTCTGATTCTTGCACCCAGTGGAAGCAGCATTGAGTTTGGCAATGAATTCAAGTTGGCTGGGTCTGGAGCAGTTTGGGGAACTTGCAGTTATAATTGGCCCCAGGTGAATCTCAGGGGGAGTCAAACTTAGAGAAGCACCCATCCATCTAGCCAAAGCAGGTTTGCAGGAGTTGCTAGGAGACCCCAGATCTACCTCTTTACTAATCCCCAAGATGTGCAAATACCAAGCAACTAGAAATCTAAGTAGTTRTAGTTGTTTTCACGTTTATTTAGAGCCTTTTGAAAACAGAAATTATACCTTTCCTTGTGCAATCTCCCAGTTCGCCAGCTTCATCGAGAGTTTCTTAGAGCTGGATCGAATGTTATGCAGACCTTCACCTTCTATGCCAGTGAAGACAAGCTGGAGAACAGGGGAAACTATGTCTTGGAGAAAATATCCGTGAGTACAACCAGCCTGAGATGCTGTAAAAGRCATCACAGATACACCACATCACTCAGAAAAATAAGAGCCTCGTCAGAGTTTTGTTTTATTTCTACTACTACAAAAACACTTGTGAATAACACTCTTGGGCTTTAGCTGGAATCTCTGAAATTATCAGAAAGGCATCTAATGAGGAGTTATTTAATAATCATAGTTCCAGTCTCATGTTAAATTGCTGAGTAAAGAGGGCATCCTTACAAATTCGTACATCCTTACCGTCTTTCAGAGTATAGGAAAGACAATAAACCCAAGGAGTCAGTAAACCTGGAATAGKGCCTGACTCAGTTACAACCAGCTTTGTGTTATTGGGCAACCCTTTACCCACCAAAGCTGTTCATCTCTAATATGAACAGAGAGTTTAAAATTCCTGGAGTTTATATGATCTACAGTTCTGTGGTTTGGTGGTTTTATTGTTTGTGTTTTAGGATGGGGTGGGGGTCCTGTTGTTTTTTGTTTGGGGGGAGGGGTGATGAGTTGGAATTCAGGGCCTCCCATGGGCTAGCCAAGTACTTAAGTCCCAGCTGTCTCAGTGGTGTACCTATAGTCCCAACTACTATGGAGGTTGGAGCAGGAGGATCCCTTGAGCCCAGGACTTTAAGGCCAGTCTGCGCATCACAGTCCCCATTTTAAAAAACAGAAACAAACCCACCCAGCACAGTGGCACACACCTGTAATCCCAGTGACTCTGGAGGCTGAGGAAGGAGAATCTTAAGTCGAAGGTCAGCCTTGGAAATTTAGCAAAACCCTGTCTCAAAATAAAAAAAAAAAAAAAAGAAAAGGTTTGTTGTTGCAGTTCTGTGGAAAAGCATCCCTAGGTTCAATCCCTAATACAAAAAAAAAAAAAAAAAGTTCAGGGCCAAGTTTTACTGTTTACATAATTTGAAAAGATCTTTTATTTATTTATTTAAATTAATGATTTATACATTTAAAAAAAAAAAAAAAAAAAGTTCAGGGCCAAGTTTTACTGTTTACATAATTTGAAAAGATCTTTTATTTATTTATTTAAATTAATGATTTATACATTTATCAATCATTTAAGAAAATATATAACAAAAAGTCCCGAATTTGTTGTGATTTTAATTGAAGTTTAATCTTATTAATCATAAATTAGCCAATCCTTATTACCACCACCACCTTTTTATTTGCACTCATCTCAATGCAGCTTAGACACTGGAAGATACCAKATCAGATCCCTGCGTGTAAAAACTCTGACCCTCTCACAGATCTTTGGCCTAAGGCTATATCTCAGATACCACTATTAGGTTTATTGTTGTCATCGTTATTATTAGTGTTGTTTTGGAAACTACTCAACTTGGTAAAGCATTGCCCCACTCCATAGCCGACCTTATATGAGATGAAATCTTTATCATAAACATAAAACCAAGATGTGCAGTSTGAATATTTTTTTTCATTTTCACATGAAATTTAGGTGTATCCTATTTTCTYCCATTTTAGGGGCAGAAAGTCAATGAAGCAGCTTGTGACATCGCCCAGCAAGTGGCTAATGAGGGAGACGCTTTGGTTGCAGGAGGTGTGAGTCAGACACCTTCATACCTCAGCTGCAAGAGTGAAACTGAAGTTAAAAAAATCTTTCACCAGCAGTTAGAAGTCTTTATGAAGAAGAATGTGGACTTCCTTATTGCAGAGGTAAACACAGCTGTGATCAAAGATAAGACAAGGACACTTGATGCATTTTTCTCTATCTTTTGCTCTCGTGTGGGGTTAGGTGCCAATCGTGACAAGTTAAGAGTAATATTTCATTTTTGAAATCTTTTTCCAGCTTAAGGAATTTCGCTAAATTTGATTCAGCTGACGCAAATGGTGTTTTTCAAACTTTCTGACTGCAATTCACACTGAGAAATCGCCATACCATTCTATTCTGTGTTAAAAATGCTTGATAACATAATTATCACTYGATGTTTTATAGAATGAATGTTCTCATTGTTTTGTGGGAAAACATGATTAAAAGTATGCTAACCTTAACTTGTTTCAGTATTTCGAACATGTTGAAGAAGCTGTGTGGGCAGTGGAAGCCTTAAAGACATCTGGAAAACCAGTGGCAGCCACCATGTGCATTGGCCCCGAAGGAGATCTGCATGGCGTGCCCCCTGGCGAGTGTGCAGTGCGCCTGGTGAAAGCAGGTGAGGATAGATTTCCTTTGGTCTGCAATTACGCAGTCTTCTCAAATAACACACAACCAGTTGCAGTGGTACAGGCTAACCCTAGCAACTCAGGAGGCTGAAGCAGGAGGATTTGCAAGTTAAAAATAAAATTTAAAAAATAAAGGCAGGGGTGGGGGGACTAGCTCAGTGGTAAGGCACCCCAGTTTCAATTCCTAGTACCAAACAAAATGGAAACAAAAAAATATATTAAATAACATACAAAATACACAGACTCCTTTGGTTAACAGGAAAACCAGTAATTTACTTTTTTTTTTACGATTCTGCTAATAATTAATAATATCACTATTGAGTTCCAAATGAAAAAAAGTTTACACACACACACACACACACACACACACACACACACACACACACAGGTACACCAGCTTTTTGAAAGGAGCAACTGGATCTATGCTGGTGATTTAATACCTAGAAGTGAGAAGAATGTTTTGGCAAATCAAAACAAACATTAGCCAGGTGCAGTGGTGTACACTTATAATCCCAACAACTCAGGAGGTTGAGACAGGAGGATTGCAAGTTTGAGGCCAGCCTCAGCAACTTAGCAAGGCCCTTCCTCCAAATAAGAAATTATAAAAGGGCTACTGATATAGCTCGGTATTGTAAAGCACCTCTGGGTTCCATCCCCGTACCAAAAAAGGAAAAGAAAAGAAACATTAGAATAAGTTGCCTCAAGTAGAGGTCTTTAAATATTAATAACTTCAAAGTTTGTTGCCCTCTTTGCCAAAGTTTTTCCATTCTCATAAATTGCTAGTGTACTTTGCTTTTTGTAATTGGTATAATAAATCAAAAAAATATTTGATATGAAACACTGACCACCTAATCTATCTTTTTTATACAGTTTGTATTCCCAACATTGCATTTCATTTCAATTAGGATAATTTGTTTTCAAAACTGCCTCATTTGAAATGTAAGGAATAACTGTCAGGGGAAGAGTCCTGCTCACTCTGTGAAACAGAGAAATTTTGACTGGTGATTTATTTCCTTTCTGACTCTTATCCAACTCCTGATTTTTCATAAAACTTTTTCATACTTGTCTTCAACAATAACAAATATTTAAATTTATTAATGAAATCACAAAATCCCAATTTCTTTATGGGACATATAAAAACAGAGTTGGGGGAAGCAAGTGAACTATTTTCAAAAGATCAGAGGAGACCTTTGTCMTTGCTGCTGTTCATTGGCAGAGGTACCTGGCCTACATCTGATCCTTCCTCTTTTAGCTCAGAGTCAGAGGCTGCTGTTGTTGACATCGCTGTACACTGTGCATGTCCTCCACAACCCTGCCCCTTTCTCCTATTTATCTATTTAATGTCTCACTATATTATAAGATCCATAAAGGCAGAGACTGTGTCTGCTTGGCTCAGCACAGAAGACCGTGGTGCCTTGCACAGTGAACAGCACATCATAGGTAGTTAATAAACATCTACCTAATACATCTAGTACATTTTCCAATGTTTCAATGTTTAGTTCAAATTCTTCTTCTCCTTCTCCTTCTCCTCCTTTCCTTCTTCTTTTCCTTTTTCTCTTCTCCTTTTTAATGGTCTTGGGGACCAGAACCAGGCCCTTACACATGCTGGTCAAACACTCTATCACTGAGCTACTTTGTGTATTCTGCTTCCATGATCATTCCTGCCCCAAGTGATCACTCCCTACTCTCAACTCTTTCATTTATTCCTCTCATTTGGAATATCCTCAGTTGACGTTTTCCCATCTGCAAAAATGTTAATAGAGCTCTGTGATCAAATATATAATGCTATGCTAAACTAAACTAGGCACATTTCTTTACTACAGAATTGATTAAAACCTTTGATATATTCATATGTATTGTCAGTCTTCAAGAAGTAGATGTAGTAAATAGTCACTGCCTAATTTAATTAATCATAAAACCTTATTTTTATGGACCAAACTTTAGAAAGTGCTGAAATTAATTATAAAAYTCTTGGGGTTAGGGACTGTGTCCTGTATTTATTTTTCTCTCCAACCTCTTGCAAAGAACCCTATACCTAACGGCATCCAATAAATAGCTGGATATCCATTGTTATATATTGGSTATCTATTATTATAAATCATACATATAGATATTTATTATCTATAAATAATAATGGTATCCAATAAATAGCCAACATGATTAATTAGTTAGCATAATAAAGCAAGGAAAGGGAAACACTGGCAGCACAACATCCAAAAAATAAATTAATTAAAATGTAGTCAAGAGCCAAGAGAAGGTGTTAGGTAAGCTGGTGGGTATTCAAGTGCAGTGCTCAGTGAAAAGGTCAGGATTAGAGAAAGAAACTAGGAAGAGATCCAGATACAAATTGCACTGAAACCCTGGACCAAAAAAGAGAAAGTGTAAATAGAGAAGATGACTCAGAGGGATCCTGGGCACCCCAGAATTGAAAAGGATTCAGCATGTAACACCCAAAAAAGCAGCAAAGGAGGTGAGAGCAACACTCAGAGTGTGGGAGTCTGAGCTAAGAAAGGAGGAGGGCCAGTAGAGGTCGTTTGCTACTGAGATATACACTGCTGGATTTGGCACCATTGAGGTCATTGGCAACCTGTCAGTGACAGGAGTGAAGTCTAAGTGGACCAAGAATGAAGAACAAACAGCAGACTCAGCTCAGTCAGGACCACTGAGACACCCACCTCTGAACACTGGATGCCAAAGGTTGTGGCATCAGTGGTATTGCTCCTGGCATCTGAATGTGGTGTCACTATCCAAAAAGAATCTCTCCTGCCCTTATTCTTGGTATCTCTATGATAAGGTACAAAATCTTAGGACATGAGCCCATCCAAAAGAAGGTCCTTTTTGGAATGGATACAGCCCAAGAGTCCTTCAACAAATGAAATAATAAACAAAATGTGATATACACGTGCAATGGATAAAATGGGATGTGGCTTTGATAGATGTTACAACAGGATGAATCCTGGAAACAGGCTAAATGAACTAAGCCATTTACAAAAGGGCAAATATATAATTTSAAGTATACAAAATATCTAGAATGGGCAATATAGGAGACATAATTAGTGGTTATGAGGGACATGTAAGAGGAGGGGAAAATTGGGAATTGTTTAGTGGTGATGGGGTTTCTCTTTGGGGTGATGAAAAATTTTGTAAATAGTGTTGAAGATTGCACAATATTGAGAATATAACTAATGCCACTAAATTGTTCACTCAAAAAATGACTAAGATGGACAATTTTATGATTGTCTATTTTACSAAATATTTTAAAACTCCAAAAGAAAAAGTTCTAGCTAGGAATTCCTCCCATTTTGATAGGACAGAGTAATGTCATGTTGCCTCTTCAAGTCTGCTAGTGGAGGAAATTGCCAGARTCATGTCTAACAAGTGCCATGATAAAACATCTTTGGTCCAGATCCAATTAAGTATATAATGACTATAAGGAAAGTTTTTGGGAAAAAAAAGGAGTATCTAAAGCATTTTGTTCTCACTAAATCAAACTTCACAGCAACAAATTTTAGAAGAAAGCTTTAGGCAGACAGCCCCATATTGTTGTGAGTCTAGGAAGGCTAACATGTAAATGAAAAGCTTGTCAAAATGATTGATAGGCTGTTAACTGTATTGATTAGCTCAAGTCAAAAGATTTTTAAGATTTTTTTTTCCAAACCACTAATCCTAGACAGAAAATTTCTTCTAGAAAACAGATTTCTGAAAAACTTTTTCCTAAATTACTTTCTGTTACTGTGCCACAAAGCCTAGTGAAATTATTAAACGGGCCTGGTGATAGGGAACATTCATTTATGCCTCAAATGAGCAGCACTATGGTAAACACAGGTGCAATCTAGCAGCTGGGAGTGTTGAAAAATTATTGTGCTTGCAATATAATGTCAAACATTGAAAAATTGACTACTAAAATTTGAAGTAGAAAAAAACCTCTAATAATGATTTTTTTGGAAAAAAAGATGGACAGCCCAGTGCGCATAAGTGACACTTCAATTATACCAGACTCTTCAAAGCAGTTTTCGCAGAAAGCACTTCCTGCCTGCTAGTAATCATTCTTGCTCACAGGTGAGATAGGTTTGTGGGGAGTGAGGACCAAATGCTACATTTCCAATCCATCATTCCAAATACAACCTTCCTGAAGAGGAGAGAATCKGGCCTACTGGTATCGGCACAGTCTAAAGTTAAGATGTTCTCCCCACTTGCAGGAGCCTCCATCGTCGGTGTGAACTGCCACTTTGACCCCACAATTAGTTTACAGACGGTGAAGCTCATGAAAGAGGGCTTGGAGGCCGCAGGGTTGAAAGCTTACCTGATGAGCCAGCCCTTGGCCTACCACACTCCCGACTGCGGCAAACAGGGATTTATTGATCTCCCAGAATTCCCGTTTGGTAAGACAGACATTTTTCTAAATTATCTCAATAGCTTTGCTTGATAAATTTCACATAAATCTATGGTCAGAGAGCTTCTATCATAGTAAAGAAATGGCTGCATAGCTCCTCTTCTCTCGCCCCAAGTTTCTGTCCACTGCCAAAGCTCCCTTCATGTTAGATGGCAGAAGAAGGGAAAATGGAACCAGCTAACAAAATCAAAGCAAAACTCTGAACTTTTTTTAAAAAAAACTTACAATTTACTTACTGAAAATTATAYACATCTGAAGACTATTTATCTTGATTTTTTTTAATAAAAAGAATTCAGACATAATGCCATTTATTTCAGGATTGGAGCCCAGAGTTGCAACCAGATGGGAYATTCAAAAATATGCCAGAGAGGCCTACAACCTCGGGGTCAGGTACATCGGTGGGTGCTGTGGATTTGAGCCCTACCACATCAGGGCAATTGCAGAGGAGCTGGCCCCAGAAAGGGGATTTTTGCCACCAGCGTCTGAAAAACATGGCAGCTGGGGGAGTGGTTTGGACATGCACACCAAACCCTGGATTAGAGCAAGGTAAGAACCTCCCAATTTGCTAACCCAAATACATCTAGATTATGAATATGTCCACGTGAGGTCACTAAAAGAGTGCAACTAATTTGCATGTGAGGATGAAGAATTAGTCATCTTCCTTACATTTTCTTGGAGAGATGTTTATAGAACATCCTTATGGAGTGATTTCTAGAGAAAGCCTTAAGAATATAAAATGTGAAAAATCTAAGTGGCAATGAAATGTGATTTTGTGCTCCAGTAAAATACCATCCATGTGGTGGACACTAACATTGAATCACGTTGATTTTTTTAAGAGTTAAATATAACCGAAATGTAACAATACTAATTAAGTCTGTTGGTGTCAAGAAACTGGGAATGCAATGGTGACTAAAATAGGCAAGGTGTTTGCCCTCAGAGTTTACATTCCAGAGGGGGAGAAAAATAAACAAGGAAATAAATTTCATATCAAACTTTGCACCAGGCATAATGGTACACCCCTGTAATCCCAGTGGCTGGGAAGACTAAGGCTGGAGGATCACAAGTTCAAAGCCAAACTCAGTAACTTAGTGAGGCCCTAAGCAACTCAGCGAGACCCTGTCTCTAAATAAAATTTTAAAAAGGGCTGGGGATGTGGTTCAGTGGTTAAGCACCCCTGGGTTCAATCCCTGGTACTAAAACAACAACAACAACAACAACAACAACAAAAGAAAACATCACACTTTGCTCTAGGCCCTAGGAATACTGTAAAAACAGAAATATGTAACCTCTGGTCTATAGACTTGTTTGCTGGTGAAAAATGAATAAGAAAGCCAATGTGGAAATTGCTTCAGTAGAGGCATGGATAAAAAAAAAAAAAAAGTTACAAGAGAAAAAAATCACTATCTCTGCCTAATAGATATTTTAGAAGGGGTATTTTGGGCTGTTTTGAAGGCTAAGTAAGATTATAGGTAGAAAAGGAAAGGAGCAAGAGGATGGCACTCCAAGCAGAGGGACCAGGTCTGCTCCATTCRGCAGACATTAATTGGACACAGTAATCTGTCAGGCACCATTGTGGATGCTCAACTAGCCCAAGGCAGACGCCTAACCCCAATGAGTGAGCAACCTAGTRGGCAGACATTCAAATGGTATAGGAATTTCAACAATGGAGACTTGCACAGTAGTACCRGGGCTGAGTGATGGCCTTCAGGAGYGAAAGACAGAAGGGAATTAATGAAGGATGTCTATGAAAGTTGATGCCTGAGCTGAATTTTGAGGGATGGATTCCTTGGCCAGACAAAGGAACAGCCTGCAGGAAGGTACTGAGAGGTGGAAAGAAGATGGTGCCTGGAGAAAGTAGAATTCTAACAACAGTAGAGACAGATTTGATAGAAGACATCACTCCAGGAGGATCAGGAGGAAGAGGTGTTTTATTATTCATGACTATGACGACACATGACCTCATCCCAGAGGTAATGAGGAGCCTGTAGGGTCTCACACAGCCCAGGGTAAGGGTAGATGAGCAAGTTGTCGAACTCTAATCATTTGCACAGAAGGCTTCTAGAAGTGCTACCAGACATTGTGAGGTTTGAAATAGAAGGAGAAAATGGGAATTGAAAGAAGAACTGAAATGAATCTACAGGGTTGTAGAGGGCAAAGCTATCCTGGATTTGGAGATGAGCAAAACCTGTGGACGGAGCCAGTGTCACAATGTGGGGACAGAGAGGTTGCATCAATTGGAAGGAAAATATCCACTCTTAAGGTTTTGATCCCTATGTGTTGTAGACTTACATATTCCTTGGAGGGTTAAAGGTCTTAGTCTGAATTGTTAAATGGCTTTAATGGACATACTCCCAGAGTCAAAGATGGCTTCAGGCTCTGGTGGCCTAGAGCCCCATGCTAGGGGAGGAGTCTGATATGTGTTTTTTTCTCACAGGGCCAGGAAGGAATACTGGCAGAATCTTCGGATCGCCTCCGGCAGGCCCTACAACCCCTCCATGTCAAAACCGGATGCCTGGGGTGTGACCAAAGGAACCGCTGAGTTGATGCAGCAGAAGGAAGCCACCACCGAGCAGCAGCTGAGAGAGCTCTTTGAAAAACAAAAATTCAAATCGACACAGTAGTCACAATGCAATTATTTTTGGCGAATTCCTCTATGTTTGGGCCCCAATGCGTACAAATAAGGAAAAGATGRTTAGAAGGCAATGCTTATGTTAATGCCAGCCTACACGTATAATTGGTATCAGCTAAACAAAGTAGAATTACAAATAGCACTTGACAGTTCTAAAAGTATGTTTTAGAAGTTTAGTTAGAAGCAAAAAAATTTTTWAAAAAAAAGAAAGAAAAAAGAAATTTCAAACAGGTTTCCTAAGCACCCACTGTGTTTAAGGTATTATGAAAATCTTTGCATCGAAGAAAGGTAATTCAGTTAGGCTTGGTTGCCCACACCTGTGATCCTGACTCAGGAGGCTGAGGCAGGAGGATTGCGAGTTTGAGGCCAACCTTAACAACTTCATGAGACCCTATCTCAAAATAAAAAAAACAAGAAGGCCTGGGGATGTAACTCAATGGTAGAGTGCCCCTGGAATTCAAAACCCAGCACCATGGCGGGGGGGTGGGGGGGGAGGAACAGGAAAAGTAATTCGAACTTTAATTAAGAAATGATAGGCTTCCAAGGAGGATGGAATATGAACTGTCATATATGACACAGCAGTCAGCCAGGGACAGATACAGTGCTATGAAAAATGACTTCCAACCTCTCTGAATGTGACACCCCATAAGAAACACCATTTATTTAATGATCCAGTAAAACATGTAACATAAACCAGGGAGTAAAATGTGTGTGATCCACTCTGATACTTTATATTCTTTTCCTTTCCATCCTACTTAATAAAACATGCTGGTTGTGACCATTCAAATTGATTTTTATGACCCACTAATGGGTTTTGACCCAGTTTGAAAAACATTGCTATGGACTCTTTGAATCATGGGAGACCATCCAAAGTAAGTTTATTCTTATAAGTCAATCCTATTGAGCTGATTATTAAGTATCTAAAGCCCACAGTCCTTCCTGAGAGTTATAGGGTTTTCTCTATTTCCCAGATCATGTCTACCATTAAGACAGATGGGAAGAGGGAGAGGGGTTGGCACATAAGCTATCTCTGTCTCCCTTAAAACTGCCTACCCAAATGCCTCCGGTCAGGTTGAGGAGCAGTGAACTTTTGTTACTTTGATAGTTTAAAAAAAAAAGTATAATTAATTAATTAATTTTTTAAAAGTACAATAAGAAAACAGATCTTCCAAATGCTAGCCAGGATTCCTAGGTTGAGAACTGTGTTGTTACAAGTCTGAAGACACAGGACAATTCACATAAAAATCACTACCCTTACCCTACGAGGAAAGAGTTCATGCTGCTTTGTAGACATTCTTGGATTGATTKAACTGTTCTGTAATTGTAAATTTGGGGCCATTAAAAAAAGAAGACTCTCTTGGTTGTATTTGGTTCTTATTTTAGTTCTACAATTTGCTAGATCCTATATAAAATCTCTATACCTCAGTTTCCCCATCTATTAAAAATATTAACAACACTATCTATTGGAAGTTTAAAGGAGTCCGTAGTATTTAAAGAGAGAGGAAATTTCCAGAACTTTCTTACTAAGAGAATTAATAATCTACTTTTGTCTGTGCACAGAAGGAGGCAAAGCAAGTCTTCAGCCAGTGGTAGCCTAGGACTGAGATGAAATAGGAGTGGACTCCTCCCACCTTTTTTTTTTTTGTGAAGTTGCCGTCTTCTGTTTCTCTTATATTCTCAATCTAAGTTCAATAATTAATAACTATCCTTCATAGATGATGGAAACTTCATTGGACTTACTATTCTATTACTGTGTAAGGTGCACGTTCCTTTAATATTCTTTTCAGAACTTATTACCACAAAAAAATGTAACCTTTAATCATTCTTATATCCTTTGATTTTAAAAATGCTTTCATCAGAAGGAACTCTATTGAAGCGCTTCTTGAATCAAACTATATGTCAACACTGCCTTCTGGTGGTAGCTTTCATATTTTGAAAAACTGAAATCCAGCCCCTCCCCCAAGCACATTTATTTCCAGAAATCTTGTTCATTAAAAAACAAAGCTCACTTAATACCTAAGAGTTTATTTATGCTACATACGTCTCACAAAGTCTTGTGGGGTTTATTATTATTATTATGGAACCAGAGCCTGAGGGAACTTCAAAATCAAAAGTCCAACTCTTCCTTTTAAGGATAAGATGACTAAGGCAGGATGCCAGGTCAGGAAGAACTCCTTGCTAGTCCAAGGCTGCCAAGAAAGATGGCTTTAGTTTAGCCTCTTGAAGAGAAGGGTGGAACAAGGACCCATGGTTCACCAAACTAAGGAGTCATCCTCAGCCAGGAAATAAAAGTCCTTGGCATTACTTAAAAATCAACATAAACTCACTGAATAAGCTGTTTTCAGTTTGTGAGCTGACATTTCTTCACACTGTAGCAAAATAACTTTTTGGATAAAACAGCCCAACCAATGCAGACCCAGAATGGACTTGAGACCTGGACTAGAATGGATCAAGAGCTTCAGTTCCCACTGTCTCCAGAGGGGGGCAGCATGTCACCAGCAGGAATGCCTGAGAGCCATGCTGTTGCTTTGAACTTGAGCTGTTTCATCAGGCTATTCTAACATTACATGGCAAAAATATTTGTAGCCTCCTTTTTGTTTTGGTCGAGTTTTTTTTTTTTTTTTTTTTTTTTTTACCCCCTAAGATATGTGGATCTTTGAATCACTTCCAGGACAACTCACCCAGCAAGGAAGGCCTTATATGTCTCCAACCAAATCTTCTTCCCCAGCTGTGACCACACTGATGCCTTTGAGAGCTTTACAGACTCCTTCCCCAAATAGCCTCCCATTAGTCAACGGCATCCTTTGGCCAATCAGGATCCTCCCACATGCTACTTGCTGGGTCAACAACCCTAAGTCTTAGCCAGCAAAGGAGGAGGAAGTCAATTTGAAGAGGAAAAAAAAAAAAAATAGAGAAACCCGTGAACTGTTTCAGAATATGCTTGATGTGTGTTAAACAAAGAACTAGAGATAATAAGGCCCAATATATCTAAACATCACAATGAATGTTTAGTGTGTGAACAACAAAACAAAACAAAATGACCGAGAACAGCCAAATGCTTCTCTCACACTTGGTGGCTGGGAGCTCGGGATCATTGGGCCGGAAACTGGTGGGAGTGAGCTGAGGGCAAGTAACAGCCTGAAGATGCTGCCCGTGTTCAAGCAGCTGGAGTCAGAGAGATGAAAAATCAAGGGGATGGAAAATCAAGGGGATGGAAAGTGAGAGAGACAGATGTCATCATTTGTGCTGCTGTGAGCTGCAKAAATAATGCCAAACAAGTCATGAAGAACAAAACTATAAAATAAGATTCTCCAAACGCTAGCCAGGACTCCCAGGCTGAGAATCATGTTTTTGCCTGATAAGTCAAAATCTGCTCTCCTGTGAGAGCTCACCCAGAAGATGCGAGACGACGAGGACAAACATGGCTACCCCTGCCCTGACTGTCAGGGGAAAGAGTACATGCTGCTCTCTAAACGTTCTTGGATTGGTTGAGCTATTCTGATGGAAATTGTAAATTTTTTTCAGCTATTAAAGAAGAAGAGCAATAAGACTGTCTTGGTTGTATTTGATTCTTATTTGAGTTCTACAATGTGTTGTTAAATTTAGTTGATTGTGTGCCGTTCAAACACATGACAATTTTATTATTATTATTATTTGTTCTATTTAGTTGTCCATGACAGCAGAATGCATTTCAATTCATCGTCCACAAATGGAGCGCAACATTTCAATTTTCTGGCTGTACACAGGCAAACATAAGATAATTTTAATGTGGTTGTACTGATGTTTAGTTTTAAATTTGTGGATTTCCTATGTGTGTTTTCACATGAAAATGAGTTCTCAAGGGAAACGTTTTGTTTATTTTTAATAAAAATGCATTTTCCCGAATACCTAAAATAACTTTAGCAGTCATAAGTTTGCGTACTTACACGCAAACAACAGTTAACGTACCATTTATAAATTGTACAAATGTTTGTCCCTTTAGGCAGGTTCTGTAAGACCTCTACTTGGCCCCATTCTGTACTTATTTGTTCTAATTTACTACATGGCCTTGAAAGGATAAAGTTGAATATCTTTTAAAATAGTTCAAACTTTTCTCCAATTCCGCCTGGCTATTCTTCCAATTACTTTGACTTAATGAGATTTTACTGTTCTTTGGAAAGGTTAACGTCTCAAACATCTGAACTGGCTTAGTGGAATTCAGCCATTTCTCCAAAACGCTAGTGCAGTGTAGCAGAAAAAGCAATGAATACATTTAAAATCAAGAATTTGGGGCCCAAGTTTTAGTTTGACCCCTTCCTCACTTTGAGAGGTTGGGTAAATCACCTCTGCTTCTCTGGCCCTCACTTTTCTCATCTGTAGGATGACAAACTTCTCATATTTTGCTGAAAAAAAAACTCCACAATTTTGTTTCTGCCTTGATGGCATAGATGAATAATGGCCTGATGATTGTCAAGAAATGTTTACCGAGTGCCACTTGGTGGTGTGTTTTCAGTAGACTTAATTGTTCATTAATAATTCCCCTAGGTAAACAGACTGCAGACTAACACAAATAATAGTGTTCAGAGGGCAGGGGAAATGTTAGGCTCAGCCTGGCATTGAAAAATGAAAATGTCAGCCTCCCCAGGTATGTTCCCTAAGGAGATTTAGGTCTGGTTTTTCATAGTATGAACTGTTTCTATTTTCAGGGTGAGGAGTTATTTGTAGGTTTATATAAGCTACAAAGAAGTTCTAGAAACTGTCAAGTGGGTAATTCTTGGTCCTTTGCCTAGAGATGGAGAGAACTGGCTTCTCACATGTTGAGAAGGTGAGTTTGGGAATGAGCAGCCTCGGAATCTTTTCTTCCCATCAAGCTATTCTCAGCAGCTGGATGACTCCCAGATGTGCACCTTCAGCCTGAGCCACTCCCAAGAACATTGGCACATGATGTTGGCTTGGCCTATAGACCCAAGTCAGTGGTCCCTTCCCTGGGCCCTGCAGGGAGCCCCAAATCTGGACCAGATCCCATGTGGGTTCTGGTGGTCAGAGTCACCTTCCTCGAAATGTCTGAGCCCTCTCCTGTGTCTGGGCCTGGTGCAGTCAGCGGTGCCATCCAGGAGGGGCACCACAAGCCTAGACTGGACAGCATGGGACCAAGTCCTGGTTTCTTCCTTCTGGGTGCTATTCTCATGTCGCTCACCTCCACCTCACTCCTGGAGTAACCTAGTTCCCCCAAGAAGCCCTGGGATTTCTGTGTACCCTGGTTCTAGGACTCTTCCTGGTAATAGGATGACTCCCACTGACAGGCCAGTGTTTCTGTCCCAAGATGGGGTGAGAATGGGCTGCCTTGTGTGGTGCCGACGCTCTTATTTGGAGTGACTCACATCAGACACGGGACAAATTCAGGGG